CGGTTTCAACATTAAAATAGTAAATAGAGTATCAAATTATAATTATTAGCTCGATATTAAGCTATCCAGGCAATGTAAAAAAAATATACATAAGTCAAAGCACAAAATTATTAATGCTGAAATTATCTGCTATCTTTTTGTTATTATTTATACGTACATTATTTAAAAATTTTAGAGAAATTAATTTTAACAGATATTATCGAGCAATTGTGAATATCTTTCAAAGTCGATCTCTTAAATGGAGATTGTTATTTTTATGAAATTAAAGTACATTGATGATTTAATTTTATACAAATAACAATCTCATTTGAGAGATCGACTTTGAGAGATATTTGCAATTGCTCGATGATATTTGTTAAAATTCATTTCTTTAAAATTTCAAGTACTTAATTACATTATTTAAAAATTTTAAAGAAATGAATTTTAACAAATATCATCTAGTATAAATTAAAAAGATTTTGTAATAGAATTATTATAATTTTTAGAAGTCTCAGAAACAATTAAGCAGATTTTGATTTCGCAGTAATAAAGTAGATCGCAACAAATTAAATAATTTTGCTGCGTTGCAATTCTAGATTGAAATGACTAATTTTTCACTTCTATCAGTCTTGCGTTTATGCGTTTAGTTAAATTGCATAGCATTGACTTAAATAGACGTTTCATTTATTCTGGTTCCAGATGTTACTTATTAGCTCTATATAAGAAAACGATTGCTTACGTAAATTACACCTATAATCGAGCGATCACGCGATTTTTATTGAGTTTAAAGGCCGAGCGCGAGCGATTGCATTCGTTGTCGGTGAAAGTGCGCGTTAGGAAGTCGTCGGACAGACTTTTGAAGTCAGAAACACGTGAATGAACGCATATACGTATCGTGCAACGAGTACCGTTGCTCAGTTAAAAACCCAGGGCGTGATACTTGATTCAAGAGGTCGAAAAGATAACCGCGAAAAGAGTCAACTAGAAATTATATTTGATACCTGTATAATTCTGCTAACGATGCCTTCTCGTATTTATTATATTTTGAAAAGCACAAATCTCAAAAAACTGTGCAAAATTTATGATAAACATTAATTGATTTTGTTTCTCATTGTCCAACGCGAATGATAAATTTTTATAGAAAAAATTGATTCTGGTATGCGATTTCCTTTTCTCCACATAGATGATTGCTTCTTCACAATCCACCAAAAAACAAATCATGTAAATTCGCTAAAGATAAAGTAGAATAAGCTAATACGAGAGCTATTCTTACGCAATTGTTCGTGCGGAAGAAGAAACTTTATTCGAAGGTCGTACAGTTACAGAATGCTAAACGACGTTTCGACCCTTGCTCCCCTTGTCATCCGGAATAACAATTTGTATCTTCGATTTCCCACAGAACAAATGTATAAACATTTAACTTGGCCGGAATTTAAATTGAGCCAAAAATCGATGTAGAAATGTAAATCGTATCATTAAAAAAAAACTGAAGTAGAAAATGGGCGAATTAATTATTTATATACAATTTATATGTTCAAGTGACATTTTCACATTAAAATCGTAATAAAGAAAAAATTAGAAATCAATTTCTAATGCACTTTAAGCGATCTATAATTCGCGAGATAGGATTTTAATTATAATTTTATATTGTGTGATACAGGAAATATATTTGAAAAATTGGAATACAGTCAATAAATGGGCTAAAGATATTAACGAAGAGAAAAATGTAATAAATAGCAATGTGTTACCTGTAGCTTTGTTGCTCGTGTGAATTCACTATTGCATTCGGGGCGATGGAATTCAGTCGGAATTTGTATCGACACGTTTGGAATGAGCGCGCGTTTCCTCCGCTTGCGTTCGCGAAGAGACAAGGCTGATTTCGCCGAGAAGCATTATTGAAAAGCTCGGTTTTTCTGGTACCCGCGATCGCGCAGACGTGCTGCACGCGACAATAATTGTAGTATATAGTATCCGCAACGCCACGGTCGTATTAGTATGCACAGGTGGAATCGGTTTGCCTTGAAATCTCGCGACGCAATTCGCGAGTGCGGAGCGAGACATTCACGGTATTCAATTCACGGTGCATCGCGTGTCTATTGTGCGCGGAGGCGACGATTATCTCGCGATACAAGGTGTCCTAGATTCATTGCTTACACTTTCAACTATGGAAAAAAGGAAAAACGTGTGAAATCTCGTCGACATTTGAATTGCCAAATCGTTTCAGCGTATCGCGTGGTAATGCGCGAAAATTAATCGTTCGCAATTCTGAATCGCAAATATTACGGCAAGTTCTGTATGAAATGCATCGTCGATTGAAAACCGCATTGGATTAAGTATTAAATTTAGTACACACGAGTTGTCGCAAAATTCGATATCCGCCAGTGATGATACATGGCAGTCTAAATGTTAAACGATCCGGAAAAAAACGATAGTGAATACGCGGGGATCATTTTTGGACTCTTATCAAATGTTTCTGGTTTCCGGATGCTTCGGCTGTTTGAAATTCTAAGTCATGAAAATTTTGGAATACTCGGTTCTGGGATTTCTAAGGTCTTAGAAAATGAAACTCTCTTGGATCGCGCGCATCACATAGAATATTCTCTCACTGGGGCGCGTTTTCTTTTGCACCAAATTCTTTGACCTATTTTGAGTTGATTTTTTCTCTGTAAAAGTACAGAGATGGCTTTTGAGCTCGTAAACGGTTCGAAATGCAGAATTTTCTGCAAATTAGTAATAATTTTAAAGAAATAAAAAAATTATAAAATATATATCGCTTTCTTTAATGAATCTCAAGTGGTCTTGAGCTATAACTTTAGCTTGAGATTTAAAAGAAATAAATTTCAAGCGGTGATTCTCTAAAATAAATGAAAATTGGAGAGTTGCGATAAATGATGTAATCTTCCTCGACATATCCTCGCAGAAGAAAAGTCGGCTGAAAATTGATCAAAGAGAATTTGCAAGGGAAATACGCCTAGTGAGAGACACGCTGTATATGACGCATTACTTTTCTCAAATAGAGTTCGCACACTTCAGTAGATCGCCAAGTTTTCGCCAGGATTTATGCGGCACGCCCTACTTTCCGCATTGTGGAAAAAGGGAGAGAGAGAGAGAGAGAGAGAGAGAGAGAGAGAGAGAGAAGAGAAGAAGAGAGAGAGAGAGAAAGAGAGAAAGAGAGACGGAGATCGCCTTGGGACGCGCGTGTCCCAAATCCCGGACATTTCGGTCGATTCAATTTTCCGTACGCGCGATAAAGAGCGGTTAATTAATAACTTGCGAAAAATCAATGGGAGAGAAAAACCGATTTGTTTCGCGCGTGGGAAAGACTCCGCGCGATTCCACTCGCCTCCGGGCGTCATTATCCAGCGCGAGCATTACGAGCCGACCGCCTTATAAGCGAATCGTCGTAAATAGAAGAAGAAAATGGTTCGCGCCGCTGCACCATTGATGCGAAGGCAAGTTTTTGCGCCGCTCCGAGTCGGGAGAAACGGGGAAAAAGCCAAGCTCGATCCCGCGCGGTGCGGCGCAGCACGTCGACCTACTGACCTGGAACCCCCAGCATCTCGCGCTATCGGCCGATCCAATTTTCCGCGTGTCGTTGACTCGTTCCCCGTGTCGGGACTCGCTCCGGACGGTTCGCCCTGGCCGTCATCGATTCCCAGGAATGGGAGCTGCGACCCGCAGGGCGCTCGAGCTCCGCGCGCGTTCTCATTATCCCGGCGTTTCCTCCCTCGCGTTAGCCTGATTTTTCAATCAAACACGAGTCGGAGAGTCGAGGTCGCGAATTTTTCTCCGGAAAAATTCTCGATCGGGCGGGTCAAACGAACGGGGCACGTTCGGCAAAATTTGTCGTGCAAATAAAATATTAGTCTGCAATGTTTTCTTTTTTTTTTTAACAAGATATGTCCGGCGGATCGGCAGATCCGCTAACAAGCCGCCGGTAGGAAACGAAGCCTCGCGGAGCGTACCATGTTGTTCGCGCCGAGGAGTCGCGAGGTCGGCGGAACGTAACGCGGGTGGTATCGGTTCGTTCGATGGTCCGACGACAGCAGCGAGACAGCAGTCACGCCTTGTAGCAGTCGATACCGCCGCTGCGCCGAGGCGACCGCGAGGCGGGACGGGGGGAGGTAATGAACAGAGTTCTCGTGTAGTAACGAGAACCGTACTCCGGATATTCGATATTGGGTCGCTTGATCGCGTATCCCCCTTCCCCCCCCCCTCCCGCGGTCCTTTCCGCGTTGCCGATCCTCATTCGACTCGCGTAGATCTTGACACCACGCGAAATGAAAACAAAGCGTTCGAGAATTAATTTAAACGACAAATCGATGATAAAATTGCTTTCTCGGAATTAAATTAAAGTGGACTTTCCTTTGATAAAACACTCGAGTTTAAAGTTTAATTGGTTTAAAGTTTACATTTTTACAAAGGTGCGCCCGTAATGTCGGAAATTGGAAAGTTATGATTAATGATGCAGCCTTCCTCGATATTTTCGCCGAAGGAGGGCCGAAAATTGACTGAAGAGTTGATAATTCAGCGGATGTGCCTGTAGCGAGGGACATCCTGCACATAACACATTGCGAAATGAGAAAATATCTAGGACATCATCGTCTCACGTCACATTTTCAATTCTCAATGTCAAATATTTTAGTAAAGTAGAGACTTGATATCGCGGCACATCACAATGCTGAGCGACAAAATTACAATTGATTTTCTGTCACGTGTGTTAGATTAATCTGATAAAAAGACATTTTTTCTGGGCATTAAATGTGCCGCTGATAATTTATCATTATCACGCAATGTTTTTCGTACGACATTAGCATTCCAATTTTATAAAACTGTACTTTCTACATTAATGCGTAGTATAGCGATTTTACACTGTTTAAAATATAATCGTAGTTAATTATTTTTATATTTTATCCGAGAAGCGTCTCTCTTCAATGTTCAAGAGGAATCCTTTGAATTCAGATTAGCTGCATGTCTACAACACTTATGTGCGTCTAATCAACTTACCTTGCTCGAGCATCTCGACTTGATGAATCATGTCAGCTATGTTACAACTAAGTTGTTAGTGGTTAATTTAACTTTCTCGCTAATGCAAAGGCATCATGATTATATGTAAATAAATAGCAATTATGGCGAAAAAAACCTTTACATCAGACTCTGTCTTGTGCGCGCTGTTAAACGAAAAGCAAGAATGATTCTGACATCTAAAAATCGTGAAAATTCAGCGTTGCAGAGAGAAATTTGAAAAGAATTTTGAGAAGACAATCCTCCTTTTGAGCTAAGACGGCTACGCTTGTTATTATTATCGTACAGTCAAGGACGTGATCTCTATTTACCCGAATCGCTTTAATTTGAGCGTCAATGTTCACGAGAAAAAGAGCATCCTTGAGACTGATTGGCAACAAGCTGCCTGGTCTAATTCGGACAATTCTCTCCTCTTTGTTTCCCGCCCACATTGTGCGATACGTCCATGTTTGTGCACTCGCCCACACTAATTAGTTAGTCGTCGGGCATCTGTCTGTCATAAAATCAGCTTTAAATCGAAGCTTATATAGTCTTTCTGCATAAATAATACACAATAATATTTACCTCGATGAAAATACTGAGAAAAGTCTGTTATCTGTTAATTTCTGTTTGAAATTTTCAAGCTTGATTTCTGAAAACTTCTTCAATTTTAATTGTTCGCAATTCATTGACATTCGCGTTAAAAAGAAACAGACGCCAGGTAGTGAAAGAATCTATAAATAAAAGTTGATCCGGGCATTCTACTTTCTCGAGAGATTCACTTTTAGTTACGCTAATATATGTAATATCAGTATAATATCAGTGTGCATATAATTAACTGTACATGTAATTAATTTGCAGACACAGCTAAGAAACTCGCACTCAAGATGAGCTGTATGTCGCAGTGCGCCAAGTACTTTCTCTGCTTCTTCAACTTCGTATTCTTCGTAAGTATACAAATCTTCATAACAGTAACTTAAACCGTAGTTCGTGCATTCCTTGCGTACACCTTTCGCGAGACGCCGCGATCGCATGGCTGGTGATTTATCAACGTCGCAACTAACCGTTTTCGCGTAAGTGCGGTTCCTCTCGAGCTCCCGCTTCTCGGTGTGTCTACGGTACACCGAATTATTCACGCAATCTTACTGGCGCTTCGGGCAATTTCTGGGATCATTTTAAGTGAGAAAAGTTCGTGTCAACGTGCATCAAACGCTGTCTATATTTATGAAGCCATAACAATTTGAAACTTATGGCTCCTGCTTTCTCATTGCATATTGATTATCAGAAGCGGGGAAACGCGACATAAATTTTTTCTTAAATATCTTCTAGCTATATTTTTGAAATATATATTTTTTCACCTGCCCAAACTTCTCTTAACTACAGTTGAAGAAAAAAAAATTGATATTTCTCTCGAATTTTCTTTAAATTTGAAAAATGAACCAAATATGCTTGCACATATCTTAAATTAAATTCTAAATGTCTTGTTTCGCGTATAAATTCAATCGTTTATGGCTCTGTCTTTCTATTGTCGCTGTTTAAGAAAAAATAAATTCTTCTTTCCAACATCAGAATGTAGAATTACTGCGCGGAATTCAGGAGCCTTAAAAAAAGAAATCCATTGAAAAGTAGGAGAGAAAATTCAAGCCGGTGCTTCGCAACACTGAGCAGAGCGTCGGGCTGCCTCCTTCGGGTCAGCCTTGAAGTCCATGAAGCATAACGAAGACGTAACACTAAAGTTTGCATTTTGCAGATCGCCGGAGGAGCGGCGTTGACTGTTGGCATCTGGCTCTTTATTGACAGCAACTCCTTTACCAACCTCATCGGCAAGCTCGATCAGTCCGATATCTTGGTAAGTTTCGAACAAATTAATAGAACGTATATATCATTATACGAGTAATCTAGTCCCCTGCACACTTCGATTCGCATCAGCGATTGCAACAGCGGACTCTTCGCCCGCATATTGCAATCGCTAACATTGCCGCTGTCTCCGATTTATTCGAATACTTAATCTTTACGTAATAAATTTTTGTAAAATAATACAAAAGAAATATTCCCGCGTTAATATCGGCGCTTTAAAGTAATTTACTTTTTATAGTCGCCAATTTTATAGCAGTTTTTCGAGACTCTGGATTTCAACGAGAAGAATTTCTCGCCGTTTAGATACTTTGGAGGAAAATTGGTCTGTGCATATTCTTATAATCGGCGATTTATTGCTACGAGTTTCTCTTGCGTAACATTGTGGCGATTATGTCGTAAGCTCGTTATGCAAGTAGGTGCAACAACGAGATTCGACTGGACTCGCTATTATATTCTCGCGCGATTATCGTATCGATGGATATATCTTTTTCACATTTCAGCTTACGTATTCCTGCACGCGATATGTTGTAGCACAAATTACAGTCCTCTCTGCCGCTAAAATGTTGGCATTGAAAACATTATCTTTATCTAATACGCTTTGCATTAACACGCTCCGCGTCGGCATTGAGCGCGCATGTTCAAACGTGCGATGCGTACGGCATTGTGATACACCATTTGTATTGTAATATACATTACATCGATAACGGGTGTCATTACGACACGTGCGCGTTAATGTGATTTTTTAATACCAACGCGTCATCGGATCGATGCGCGAGACACGTCTTTCTTGCGAATTCTCGCGTTTTTTTTTTCCCCGACGCATTTTCTCACGAAGAAAATTCTTCGAGAATCGCGCAAATAATCGCGCGCTTCCGATATCTCGTGCGGCCGATCTAAATAAGTTAAAGGGGCTGCCTCTAAATTGGCTTAGGGATAAACATCTGTATCTTCCACCGGAGAGGTGCGTGCAGTGCGCGCACACACCCACTAGGCTTTCCTTAATTGCGAGCCGCTCTGAGATACGGGATAATCTACATTTAACGAGGTGCTTGACTCTATAAACCGCGTGGAGGGGGGCATGAAAAAGAGCGACCCGCCTTAAAGACCGGCCGCGGTTAACGAGAACAATGGGGAATGCTAACTTCCTTTGAATAATTACTGCTGTACACGCCTCGGAATAATCGCTGGAAAAAACCCTTTCCTTCCTCTTACGCATCTAGTTCGGCCTTGATCGGCGGAATCACGTGTCTACAATATTCTCGTACATCACTTCGATGAACTGGAGGAAACTGTTCGCGACTGAAGAACGTGTCATTTTGCGGGATTGCAGCACCGATGCACACGCAAATGGCTTAAGTGCAAAAAGGATTTTGTTTTAAATAACTTTACGCCCACGCCGGGTAGGAAAGTGTGCGACGTTAATTAGCCGGACGACGACGTATCGTTACGCGGCGCTTTCTAATACCCGCCTTCTTATCACTAGTAATTAGCATGTGCTCTAGTTTCACTTTATAATTATTATGAAACTCGAGTAACAACAGCTTCTCCCGCGAAGCAACACCGGAGACGTCGCGACTCCTCGGACTCTCGCGCGAGTCTCGTTCGATCCCGATCGCGACGGACGCTCTCGATTGGAGGGCGCGAAATAATGAGCCCCTCTATGATCCACTTACGCGCGTCGCTCACATTTTCAAGCGATTTGTCCGTCGGGAATTCATTATGACGCCTGACAACTCCTCGGTTTTTTTTTTCACTCGCGGCACTTCGCTACAGTTACATCGAATTATGACGTCAGAAGCGAGAGATTCTATCAAGTCTTTTTTTTTTGTACTCTATACATGTCGAAGCACGTGTCACCACTCACATTCTATAGCGTAGATTGGTAAGACACATCGAAGACTCTCCTTCGCAAATTAACAAATAGCTGTAAATCTTGATCGACTCTCAAGGCTCAATTTTAATATTCGCTGGAAATGTGGGATACTGAATTACACGCACATTTACTAATGTGGGATGATAAAAAAAAAGGAGCCGTCGGTGTATCTTACAATTGTACGAACACGAATAATGGAATAGAAAATAATTAATCTACGGCGAAAAGAAATTAGGTTTCTCAATTCCGACATCGTTAATTCATTATATCGACTTAACTCGACGGGAAGTCAAGTGTCGTTAAAAATTTGTTAAGCAGAAAGATACGAAAAGAGGCGAACTTATTGTAGGAGCTATGTGTGACGCAGGTACCAGCGACGCCACGGCAGGGGAGAACGAGAAACGTAATTATCGGTACTTGGTCGCTGATGAGATGATTGTCTGTCACATTAGCGCAACGCGTGGGAGGATCATGGTGCTCCATCACGGACTCGTGGTGTTCATAGTCCACCGGCGGGCACTCGGCTCTCCATTCGTCGTCACTCACGAATATCTGGTCCCCGACATTGTCGGCCGACAATTTTTTACACATTTATATGATGCGGCGGTAGCGCAGCTAGACAGCGGAACGCCGCGGTAAAAGTAAAAGTGCCGCTTTCGTTTTACGGGCTTCGCGCGGGCGGCGAAAGGCCGTTTCGCTGCGACAAGTTGAATTACAATTAAATCGGTTATTGAGAGATGAGAGGTGTTATCGAATTGGATTCGTTAAAGTGAGCAATTCTCAAATTAAACAATCGTTGAAATTGATTTCTTCTAATTTTTGAGAGCCCCATTGAAATCTTGGCGTTGATGCGATGCCATAAATTTAACGCACTTTGATTTTAGCTTGTTTCGGTTTTAGTTACAAGTTCCTTACAAGCGATGTGCGATTGATGTATCTGCACGTGACGCGGGAAAAGGACAAAATAATGCTAATAATTTGATCGATTCACGCTTGACAAACGAACGAATCATCGTTGCGTTATTAGCGAAGGCTCGCTTAGAAAGTCACTTCTAATCGTCCTAATCGACGGATGTAACTTGCAGTTGTTAACGGTGTCGTCTCTTAGAAACCTCTCGCGAACAGAATCCGTTTCGCGAATCAAGTGGGTTAGTTGCTTAAGATGTTATGCGTTTCGCAGACATCACTCGGACATGTCAGTCCGGTCCGCTGCCGCTCTTTGTCAGAGAGAATGCGCTAGACGAATCAGGAAATCGGGAGAAATTTCCGTAAAAACAGTCGATGCAAGATTTAATAAAGAGCTCGCAGATCGAAGAAAGTGCGCTCAGTGAGGCGTCTTGCGCAGTAAATTCTAGAACATTAGCGAGAACTACTCGGAAAGAGACGATTTTAAGACAGTCGATTAAGTGTTTCATCCGTATCGCGCGCTGTTATCGCGCGGCTTAGCGAGTGATAGCGCTGTCGTTTACATTTCCTCGACAACGATTGCGTTTCTCGTTGCCGTCGTCATTGAAATTTAGTCGCATCGATTCCTCGATTTATGGTATTCCGTTAATTGCCGCTTGAGCAACGTCGACAAAGGATGGGGCTTAACGCTAATAATCGCTTGGTTTCGTCCTTGAATGCTTTACACAGTGAATGATTATAGACTGTAACATTAGTATTAACGAAGAATGTTAATGGCACATTGTACAGCTGGTTCGAAATTAGAAAAGAAAGTCTCTCGCGAGCGAGGAAATTCAGGAACGCCGATTTCTATGGGTGTTCGATCTCTCTTCGAGTACGCTCGCTGCATTCGCGAGTATAAGGGAAGCAAGTATTTAGGGCGTACGCCGTTAGCTCCAGAAAATGCATTAACTCGCTGACGCACGCGCAACGCACATCCACGTACTGCAAATGCATTAAATTGGGTCATTTCGGAGCAACAGCTCGCACGACGACGAGCCACGCTCGTGCGCGTTCGACGTTCGCTCGTACACCGTGCATTTTTTATGAGGCCTCATACTGTTCTCACTTTAACTCTTTAGTTGCTGAATTGCTTCAAAAAAGATAAGTTTGTTTACAGAGTCTTTTTATCTTTATCAACGATTAGGTACAAGATAATTTTAAAGTGATTTCACTTTTAATGAAATTTATTTTTTTGTTAGAAAATGTTCGGCAAGTGAAAAAATTCTAGAATCGATTTTTTTTCGAGATGAAGAAAGTTGCAATTTTTGAATTTTAGATTCTACTTGAAATTAATTTGATTTATATTATCTGTTTGTTCTTTTCAAGTTTAATTTTTAAAAAGTACTTATTTTTAATTGTCATGCATAATTCCATACTTTGATATTTTAAAGTTACGAAGAGAAAATGAATTCAAAGAATGCATAATTCAGAGGAAGTGCGAATGAAGGATGAAGACTCTTGTATATGAAATAATATATTCAATAATTCTACAAGATGATTCATTGTTTTAAGCTAATTGTATACGTAATATCCCATTACTCACCGTCTTAATTTCAATGACAAATTTCCTGATAAACCTGGATGAATCATTTTTTTGGTTTTATTCAGCTAAAAATATCATCAATTTTCTAATTATAATCGATTTAAAGAGGAAAGCTTTTTATAAACTGAGCTTCAAGGAAGCACAAACTCAATAAATGTCTAGACTATTTTTAGCATATTTTATTTTAAAACCTGCTTGCAAAGAATATAATATTAGAAAATTGAGAAACCTTTCTTGCTGCGGAAAGGTCAACTCCAAATTAATCATCGAGTCCTGCCGTTACAATTAAGATCGCGAGTTGTGGAGCATCGTGTGTTTAAAGCTGAAGTGTTGCATCGCGCTTGCTTATCACTCATTATCGAGCTTTGAATAGGCTCGATTAATCTGACGGAACGAGTCGGTGAAACCGAACACGCGGGATACCCTTATTAGTCCTTTCACCTGGTGACCTGATTTTTCGCGGCACGCTCCGTCGCCGTCAAGCAGTAGTGCTCAATAAGACGCGCAGCGTTACGGCGCGCCTATACTAAGGCGGCGTCGAACTAAAAATACTTTATGTCCGTTCAACAGGTGTTCGAGATAAGAATGTGCGGCGTGCCCGTGAAGTAATCCGTGCGGCAGGTACAAATCGGTCGAAACAGTCGGCAAGCTGTTTTAGACAAGTGGCTACTTTGTTCTCCCGCGAATGTAAAACGGCGCGTCACGCAACATGATTGCCTTTATCTAACGCATAAAATAACAAACATTACACGACGAATTCTGCTGCTGTTACTCGCGCATTATTACGAGCATTCTCGAACGAGAAAATGAGAGATGACGAAACTTTAGCCTTTTACATTGCATCGCTCGCGGTAAAAGCTATCGATCGGCTATCGATAGCTGTCGATACATTTCGTATTCTCGAGAATTCTTTGGACAATAAGTAAGATTTCTTTGTTACACCACGACGGAATTAACGCAAACAATCGCTGAATTGTGCGTCGCGTCTTAAATTTGCATACCTCGTGCATATCTGCTTGCCGAGAAGGCTTTAAGTAAATTTGTGCGACGAAAATTTATGGGGAGATATATCTTTCTCTGCCGTAATGCCAGATATCACTTCGCACTTAATTGCGCTTGATTAAATTTAAAAATGCGTTCACCATCCAAAAGGAAGATTGATAGAGTTAATATTTCTCTTTACGATTTTATATTCGCTTATTAATTTTTCTCGGTGATTTTAAAGCTCGGGATTATATCATGTTCTTCCATTTCGCGCAGTTTTCCGATTTCGACGGCTTTTTAAGGGAAATATTTTTATTAATGACATGATTATTAAAATTATCTCCTCGGCATAAAATTATTGCAGTCGAACAAATGTACATATACATATGTTGTGCAAGAAGAGAAAGTTTTTTCGAGGCATTACAGTGTTTACTTTCTTTTTTCATTAAATTTAATTTTTTAATTGCCGGTTTGAAAAAAAAAGAAACAGTAGAATACATATTCAGGAAGCGTTTTTTTCTCAACGAATACAATCGATGTGATGAGTCCTCGAAGATTTCCAACGGCAACATCGAGGGGAGGCTTGTTTCTCGCGCGACACCCCCGCATAAAGGCTCATCTATATTGCCACTCCGATCCGCCTCGTGAAACTCGATATCCATCACGCACGGCCGAGACGACAGTTCGCATGTAGCGAGCTTATAAGTATTCTAAGTGCCGTTCTCGCAAGCCATTATGTCATCCTCTTATATCGAGCATGTTTTGTGACGATGTACAATACTCGCATAGATACTCGGCGCGGGCGAGCCGACGAGCGTCGGTTTAATAATTGTTCGCAACTTGCGTGCACTGGAACGTGCTCCTCGCATAAATTATGTCGAACAATAAATATAGTATGCATAAGAATGGTGGCGCGATTAGCGACAAAGCGCCATTGATATTTTAATTTATGGAAATGCGATTAATCGTTCCGTGATTGTTCGCAGATTGACTGCTAGACGGATTGTTACAATTTCGTTTTACATACAAATTGCTTTCGTATCAATTCTGGAGTTTAGTGATTTGTAAAAAATATTATAAACCTTTCTTTTTTTTTTTGACTAAATCGTTATTAAAGAATTGATAAACGAGTAGAGCGTATTTTTGTGAGAATTTCTACGATTTTTTTCGTTTTTTCTACATTTTTTACAAATGCAGACTCATTTATCGACGTAAATTTATTAATTAGGAATGCAGTTCTACATTAATAAGTATTACAATAAACGGCGACTGCGGTAGAAAAAAAAGACTCTAGAATCCTATTCTAGAAATTGCGCAATTTCACGTCCCACATTCAATAATGAATATTTAATGAAACGATCTGCATTCTCTCATATCACGTTTTCTTGTTTTGCAGAATAAAACGGATGCCGATGTCATCAGGATGATCGCCTACATTCTCATCGCGGCCGGCGCTCTGACGTTCATCGTCAGCTTCCTCGGATATTGCGGCGCGATGTTCGAGTCCCGGTGTCTTCTATGCGTCGTAAGTTCGTTCTAATAAAACTTGTCTCGCAATTTGTTTCGCCGTCTACGGCGCGCAGACGATCAGAAATACGGTTACGGGAACTTATTCGCAGCCTATTACGGCAGGATGTGTAACGAACGAAGTTACAGAGAGAAAAATTCTTCTCTGATTACAGTACGGCATTCTAATCTTGCTGGTTTTAGTCCTGGAATGTGTGGTGGTTGGCCTCGCTTTCGGACTCAAAGGAGACGTGCGTATAATTGCCATATGATTATCATACTCATCTCCGAATCTCGTTTCTATCGCCGATTCGAGCGATGTTACACTGCGCGATATATGCGACGGAAATTTAACTACTTTATTTTATATTGTTTAATTGCCGTTTAATGGCTCAAAATAATCAACTGTCAATTTTGTTATTTAGTGTAATTAGCGCACCTGCGCGGATCGAGTAAACGATCAGCCGTGTTTGTAAAGTTTATTTTAACATGAAATTTACGCAGGCCGAAAAAGGTACGCAGAGTTTCTTGAAGTCGACCATCAAGTATTACGCGACCACCGCTGATAAGGCCGAGACGGTGACAGTTGCGTGGGACGGTATCATGAGCCAGGTAAGACCGCTAATTATCATTAATTAAGACGCTAGCGTATGTGCCAGTTGGCGATAATTGAATCCCTGTCGCGAGCTAATGCACTTGCCGTTAATGCTACATTGATTCTTCCGGATTTCATTTATCTTGCATGTAGAAGTGCCATTAATTGGCCAAGTCGCTCTAACTGCGCGGCGCTTTGGTATATAAGTGAAAGTTCGTAATATCACACGGACGCGCTATCGCGCTCGCTATCGTACCGTTTTGCAGCGGAATTACAGGCTGCAAACTACAAATTACTCGTTGGAGAGAATTTCGTTTTGGGACTTATTGATAAATTATAGAGAGAAATGTGGACGTGCAGAAGTCACTCGCACGATCCCGAGCTGTGGAAACCGGATAGATTTTTTTCGCGACTTTCCACTTTCAACTTAGAACTTTCAGATGTACGCCGAAGCCGCTCTAGGAAGAGGAAACCAGTCAGGAAACTGAAAAATCAGCTTTCCAGTTTCTAAAAGTTAAAGTTCGCCAAAATCGATGAGCCGAAAGTGTCATAATATTCGCATATTCGCGAGTTTCACTAAACACGCCATTAAATTCACGACGAACAATGCAAGAAGAAATTATTTACAGCTTTTAAGTGTACAGTCTATCCTCTGTGTTTATTTATTTTCTCGGTCACGAGTCTAAAGAAAGTAAAGAAAAAAAATATTTGTACGATGCTGAAGAACGCGAGATGTCTGGTATGGCTGGAAATTCTTTCAGCTTCACTGTTGCGGCGTGGAAAGCTACCTGGACTTCCGTGACAACAAGAATTGGACTTTGACCGGAAAAACTGTGCCCGAGGCCTGCTGTATAAAGGAGAACGACGCTCTGAAAGATCCCTCGTGTCCGATTAGCCCTACCGCGGCCAACTCGTACTATCAAACGGTAAGATACGTCTTATTACTTCAGTTCTTGTTACTTTAATAAGTTTTTCGTTATTACACGGCGGTATCTAGCTCTAGGCACGCTAGCGTAATTGTCGTTCTACGGAGCGCGAATCGCATGGACGTATTCACGTATAACACACTTTCCCCTTGACAATTTTCTGAGCGTGACTCGACATTGGCATTGCGTGCTCCTAGTCCTCGCACGCTGAGGCATCCATAAAGATGTATTTGAGCAGATAGTCTCGTGCTGTGCGTGCTAGAAAAACATTTATACAAGCTTCGCATTTTATACGAACTTTATGCTCGGTTTTGACACGAAGTTTTTTGAACGATAATGCGATCTTTTTTATTTTTCGATCTTATTAAAGATCGCGTTAACACTGAGATTTCGTAAAAGTAAAGTTTACTCGAGATTCAGATTGCTTGCGAAAATTCGTCTGAAAATAAAAAAAAAAGATTGATCGAATAAGTGGATTGAAAATTTTCTTATCGGCAATTATTTTGGTGTTAAATTTCTGCCGATTAGCTCTGTGATTAAAATTCTGTAAAGTTTTGTAAAGTTATTTGTCACCTGACTCGCAATATACATGCTCGCTTATCTGTACATATCGCGTTAAACTAACTACACTTATTTACTCGCAGGGTTGCTACAAAGCCATGGTGACCGCTATCGAGGAAAACGCGGCGATAGTGATCGGTGTGGCCGCTGCCCTGGTCTTCATCGAGATCTTGGTCATCATTCTGGCGCTGTACCTAGCCTGCTGCTACTGGCGTCCACAACATGGTAGGCTCGGTGTTAAAGTCAGTTATTAAATTCCGGTAGTAAGCGCGCAAAAAAAAAAAAGATATAAAAAAAGAAAAAAGAAAATAACTATACGATTTCCGCTGAACGATTTCCTCGGCCGGTTAGGGAGATTGTCAGTTTCATTTACGGTAAAATGTGACCTCTTTAACACTTTGCAGTTTATCGATGCGTAGAACCTTCTGGCAAGGAGTAACCTCGAGAGCAGAATGTGCTGAGCTTTCTGCCAGCAGCTCTTTTGAACGCAGTTCTTTTTCCTTTATGGACTTCGCGAATACCTCGACTGTGCTTATTTTTGTATGTGTATATGTGATCACATATGTATACATGCAAAAGATCTATATATGCATATACATAATACTCATATATATATGCATAACACATGTACATACACGTGTACTTTCGTGTGTCCTTCCAACGCAATGGCGATGCAAGTCGAATCCGGTGGCATCGTACCGCATCGTGCACTCCGATTGCATACAGTCTTAGAAACTACATAACGAGAGTCGAAGGGTTGCGCACCGGAAGCGATCGCACACGAGTCGCTTTCGCGTGCGCCATCTCTTCGGCCCTTCGGTTATCGGCATGTTAATGTATGAACTTTAATGGAAATCGCGTTGAGCGGAAAGCGCACACAATATGGGCTTCGTGATGTTGGTTTCAACGAATCAGACTCTCGTTGGTTGCATGTGCCAAATTACCGTGCGGTCAATCGCGGGACCGCTGACAGCCGTCAAGCGCTTTATACCGACGCTAAAGTGCCAATGTATCAAACGCAATCGCTCTCTCGACGCACACGCGACGTTTTCCGTTCTTCAGCGGTTCTGAAGACGGGGAAACTGAACGAAGGTGAAACGCTTCTCCCGACATGGACGTCAGTTCGATAAAGATACGATTAGAGACACTTTCAACATTCCCGCGCGCTATTAGCATACAATACTCGTTCGTGTCCGCTCAACGCGCGCTTAACGATCTGTATAAATATCTGTGTATTCGATATCGTCACAATTGCACACTGTGCCGTGCACTGTTTAAATGCTTTAAGCTCGGGCGGAATGTGACCAATATTATATATATACATATATATATATATATATATATAGTATCGGAATATTCCTCGAGCATTGTAATGACGTCGAAATTTCCGCACGAAAAACGCGAAATCAGTAACTTTGCAATTATTTGTACCGGTTTACGATCCCTTATCGGATAGCTTGCTCTTTCCCAAGAATTCTTGATATACCTTTTTCAATTGCATATATGATACATTCGCACGAACCACTTCCGATATATTTTACATTCCGTTGTCACCCCACATAGAAATAGCCTGTCCCTACGCAGCGCCCGCGATCGGCCAGCGATGGCCGATCTACGGCTGCCAAGAATCTGCTGTCCAGTATCGGCCCATTTGCTGACCCATTACTGGCGGATGACTGTCTTATAATCTGTATGGATTTTTTTTTGTAGAATAACGCCAACGATTGGTCGATCCACGGCTGGCAGTCATCGGCCAAGTGCTGGCTCAGTACTGGACCGTTCGTAAAATCCTACTCGGGCAATCAGCACGAACGAAAACTGTCGCACGAATTTTCTCGAATTTAATGTTTATGGACGATCGGGACCGATTGACCGAAATGGCGAAAGCGGTGTTGTTTGAGTGCAGCACAGTTTCACGTTCGGATGCCCGACGACGAGGCGCACGGCGCCTCGTCGCGAGCGCGATTATTAGCGTAGCGTGTCTATTCGATATCCATCCTATATTAAAAGTAGTTTCCCTTTTCCACCGACCGGAAGGCATTGACAAATGGACGTTCTTTTAGCTTGTGTAGACGTATCGTCGAGACAGGCCTGGTGAGGTGCTGAAGTAAGGATGATGATTTTGATGGGGTTTGCTTTCAAGTAAGACGGAGGTGACGCTGTCAGTCGACAGCCGACGCCTCCCCCGCTGCCGCTTCGCCGCAGCGTCTAGATCTATCATCCCACTCTACTTTTTACATGCGTTCTTTCGTTGGATTCTATTCTGAGGCATGGTAGCTTTGCTCTCCACCCCTTTTGCATGGCCATGCTGTTTTGTATATAATTTGACAGAGAGGCAGAGGAGAGAGAGAGAGAGAGAGGAGGAGTGTAAAGG